AGGACGACTCACTGGCCCATACCGCAAAGGAGAAAGCCGATCTTCTAGGCTCTTTCTTTGCGTCTAACTCGACTCTCGATGACGGGGGGAGTACTCCGCCGACCATCCCGCGGTGTGAGTGCTCCATGCCGGAAGTGCAGTTCACACAGCGCTCGGTTCGCAAAGCACTCCTCTCCCTGGACATCCACAAGTCGAGTGGGCCTGACGGAATCCCCCCAATTGTGCTGAGGACGTGTGCTCCAGAGTTGGCACCGGTTTTAACGCGTCTTTTCCGGTACTCCTACTCCCTAGGCGTAGTCCCAAAATCATAGAAGACGGCTTACGTCCACCCGATCCCTAAAAAAGGCGACCGCTCTGACCCGTCCAACTACCGGCCAATCGCCATCACCTCCTTGTTCTCCAAAACAATGGAGTCCATTGTAAACTGCCAGCTCATGAGGTACCTTGAAGATCACCAGCTGATTAGTGACCGCCAATACGGTTTTCGCCGTGGTCGGTCAGCTGGTGATCTTCTGGTCTACCTAACTCACAGATGGGCGGAGGCAGTAGAGTTCAAGGGGGAGGCATTGGCCATTAGTTTGGACATTTCGAAGGCCTTCGATCGGGTTTGGCACAAAGCGCTTCTTTCGAAGCTCGCTTCCTATGGGCTTCCCGAGAAACTGTGCGATTGGATCACCAGCTTTCTTGCAGATCGGAGCATCAAGGTCGTTGTAGACGGTGCAAGCTCCGATTGCAAGCCTATTAATGCTGGTGTTCCACAGGGCTGTGTGCTATCGCCAACGCTGTTTCTTCTGCATATCAATGACATGTTGCGTACCCGTAACATTCATTGCTATGCAGATGACAGCACTGGTGATGCTCTTTACACCGGCCGAGCCAATATTTCTCGGGAAAACGTCTCCGAGTGCCGGGACAAACTTGTGTCTGAAGTCGAGTCTCTGCTGGACAGAGTCTCGGATTGGGGGCGACTAAATCTAATCCAGTTTAACCCCCAGAAGACACAAGTTTGCGCGTTAACCGCTAAAAAGAACCCCTTTGTCGTATCCCCTCAGTTTCAAGGCACTCCCCTTGTTGCCTCAGCCAGTATCGGAATCCTCGGCGTCGACATTCCGAATAACTTTAGTTTCGCGGTCACTTGGAAGGGAAGGTCAAATTGGCCTCTAAAAAGCTTGGCGTGCTCAGCAGAGCGGGAGTGTATTTCATGCCGGCACACCGCCTGCAACTTTACAAGGCGCAGGTTCGGCCACACATGGAATAGTGTTCCCATCTCTGGGCTGGGGCTCCCCAGTACCAGCTCCTTCCACTTGACCGCATCCAGCGCAGAGCGGCTCGAATCGTCGACGACCGAGTGCTTTCCGATCGGCTCGATTCACTGGCGCTGCGAAGAGATGTTGCATCTCTTTGCGTATTTTATCGCATCTATCACGGGGAGTGCTCTGAGGAATTGTTCGGATTAATCCCAGCCGCCAAATTTCGTGAACGCACTACACGTCAAACGTCCCGATACCATCCACACCATCTGGATGCTTGGCGGTCCACCACTGTACGTTTCACAAGGAGTTTTTTCCACGTACGACCTCTCTGTGGAATAATTTACCACCGGCGATTTTTCCGGACCGATACGACCTGGGGACCTTCAAGAAAAGAGCTTACTCCTTTCTAAAGGGCCGGCAACGCACCCGCAATTCTCCTGGTGTTGCGGTTGATCATGGGCGGCGGTAGTCACTTAACATCAGGTGAGCCACATGCTCGTTTGCCCCTTCTTCTATAAAAAAAAGACGACACCGTGGTGCAGTGGCTTAACAATGTTGCAGCACTGACGACCGCGGATTCGAATCCCGCACGCAACAAGTATTTATATTGCATACAAATAATTTTTCCGCGTTTGGACGTTTGTCCTTGATGTTTCGTAGTGTGGAGTTATTTTGTGAGATCTGGATTACATACTATATGCAAGTATATACGAACACTGTAGATTCCGCACTTTGTGTGATTTACGGATGTATTGCGAAGTATTCTCCAAAAAGGTCTCAATTCTTCAAAAAGGGAGCCTTATTTGTCTCAAACTATTATATGTTATTGGAGTTTACTCCTTAAGAACCGATTTTAATATATTATATCCCGCAGTACACTAATTGAATGCGGAGTTAAATCAAGTGTTGAATTCTTAATGTTGCCCCGCCGCGCAACGTATTCGCAATGGAGTGTAGAGGTAAGGAGTACAGACTGTGTATTAAAAGTGTTCATAGAAAACCCTTAAATAAGGGTGGCGCCACTATAGCTACGGGGTAAATTTTAAAGAACGCACCGAAAAATATTAGTGGGATAGACTACTTTTTCGAGTTTATATTTATTACTACATACAGTTTAATAGCACACTTAAACCATCGACAACTGCTAAGTTCATTTCATCCCAGTAGCTACTCCAGCGCTGTTGTTGAGAGTTTTTGAACTGTTATTTACTGCTTACAGATGGCCACTTTTTCTACTTTTCTACTATGGGAGTTGGTACTCCTTACTTTTACACTCCATAGTATTCGCTCTTCTTATACTGAACCATAGATAAGAGTGTATACAAACTGAACGCATGTTAAAGTAATAGCGACATCTACTTCATTCTATAGGTCATTTTATCGAACAAATTCGTAGACTTAACTCTCAAGGTGAATGTTACGTAAAGCAGACGCTAGATAGCCTAAACGCCGACTAATTTGATATGAATAAACTTTAAGGAGTAAGAAGTAGACTCCAGTCGCGCGTCGAAGCTGACACGCGCCATTTTTTTTTGCTGCTACACTCTAACAGAAATCTATCGATTAACCGAACGTTTCGTTACGTTCCAGCGAATTCGGTAACTCCGAAAACGAGAACGATCACGAATGTGTGTATGCTCAAGTTCGGTAATCGAAGCCAAGAGAACAATTGAAAGCATTCGGTTCTGTCCGAATTGTCATGTTCATTGGCTATGTACATTCCGTGGCAACTACAGCGACCCCACTCCCCATTATCACCATCAGATACGATAAAAACCTTCAGTCATACAAACAGTAAATTTTTAACAACCTTATAATCGATATTTAGAAACCACTTCTGTAATTTTTGTTTACATGCATGTTTTGGTAGAGAATACATTGATAAAAGTTCCCGGGTGAAATTGTCGGAATTATTTATAAAACGGAAACGTTAAACAATCTTACAGTCCACCTGATGATAGCTATTGAAGTCTATGGTCATCTGCCGCCAACTTCAAACAAAGGTAGTTAGAGATGAGTTGTCACCTCTGATGACTAAAATGGAATGTCTCACAACTTGCAGTTATACTGGATACCCTTTAGAATGGGACAGAAAAGGTGTCCCTACGTGTCTTATCACCAGGTTCATCCAAATATATTGTTTCCAAGACCGGCACGATTCTTATGTATTTAGTCCAACACTGATCAATACATGATCAATAGCTTTTCTGACTAAGCAGTAGTATGTTATGGGTGTATTTCGAAATAGAATCCAGTATACTGGCCAATGCAAATGACGTCATAAATCGACGCCGTACTGGTGATTCGTTTCAAAACAATGGCCAGTATGTGACATCGTACATTTGCGCCATATTGGAAAAGTGTTCGCGATTATTTTATGTCATTTTGTGCTCCAAAAGTTATTATATCCTGTTTCAATTAATTTGTGAAAAATGGAGATACCAGCAATAATTCTATAATTTTTTGTATTTGAATAAATAAAAACCAATTCTAGCATGCTTCATTCAGCGTACACAGTTAAAAATTGTTTTAATTATGGCGGGATATCCGACACAATATGGCGGCGGCACGCCAGTACAATATGGCGTCAATTAATGACGTCATTTGCAGGATATAATATTGGTCTATGCTAAATCCAGCTGTGGGAATTTTAACAAACTCAGATGATCTGACAAATACAAATGATTCTTGACGAGATTTGATTGAATGAGACTTTCGCATATACCATGGGGAGTGCTCTGAGGAATTGTTCGGATTAATCCCAGCCGCCAAATTTCGTGAACGCACTACGCGGCAAACGTCCCGATACCATCCACACCATCTGGATGCTTGGCGGTCCACCACTGTACGTTTCACAAGGAGTTTTCTTCCGCGTACGACCTCTCTGTGGAATAGTTTACCACCGGCGATTTTTCCGGACCGATACGACCTAGACCTTCAAGAACAGAGCTTACTCCTTTCTAAAGGGCCGGCAATGCACCTGCAATTCCCCTGGTGTTGCGGATGATCATGGGCGGCGGTAGTCACCTAACATCAGGTGAGCCGCATGCTCGTTTGCCCGCTCTTCTATAAAAAAATGAGTTTCAGTTGAATTGATAAATCATAACATATAATCGAGCATAATTATAAGTTTTAAAGAATACTCAGCGGTTTCTAGTTTCTAAGAACACAATAACATAATTTTATAAAAATACAGTTGTTATAAAATGAACTTTAATATACTTACGATACGGTTTACTCTTGCTTAAATTAACGATGTTCTAGAGCGTTTAAAGTGATGTCATAGTAAAATGTACCTTAATTTTATTATATTGAAAGAACCCATTGTATAACTATATAGATTTAATCATATTACTTGAATTGATTTTACGAATTTAAATCAAGTTTTGTATGAATTTTACAATACGACTCTTGTTGAGAATCACCTAAATAAATTGAAGGGTTTATTTACGCTGTAGTCCGTACAACTTCATAAGGTGTTAAAACAGGCATTCTCATCGACCTTGTAGCGAATTTAAAGCTTATTTATATAACTTTAAAGTGCATTTTACCATACGACCTCTTAAATATGACTATATTAATAATACGACTAATTAAGCCACGCATTGTTTAAGGTTAATACTCCGCCGATATACAAGCCAGTTTTATATTTCTCACCGGGAAATTAAACCGTATTTATATTGAATTAAGGTTCATTTCTCAATAAAACCACTGTCGATATTAGCTTTAAATAAATGGAATATAAGTTCAAGCCGCACAAACGGTGTCATCTAGAGGAGCGAGCTCTAACTTGACGTCTTCGGACTGCAGTTCTGTTACCAGCTCGCGCAGTCTGTGGAAAAATATACAACAATGTTTGTTACCAGGTAGAGATGACGTAGGGGATACACTACCCCATATCATCCCGTGGATTTCGTTACAGGCGACAGAGAGAAACTGAAACTTAAAACTTTTTATACGTGGTAGAGCCATGCTGCAGTTATATTAGTAGTACAGTTCGACCGGGGAAGGACCACGCTCTCACAGAATACCAGCGTCAAATAGTAACTTAATGCTGCTGTGTTTCGTATGGTGAATGTAGAGAACCAGAGACCCTTTTTACTGGAAACGAGGCATTCCATCTTAGTCCTCCTGGATGACAACGCATCTGCATTTTGATTCGTAATCGAGGATAGATGTAGATGTCTATGGGCCACAGCAACCACTTACCATCAGGTGGACTGTGTGCTCGTTTGTCAGCCTATCCTATAAAAAAAAACACAAGATGTGTAGCAGCATTTTCTTGATAACAACTTAATAATAACAAAAAGCTGTCAACCCGCCTGCTAAGCATTGCAACTATGGTAAATGTGGTAATGTATGAGGAGGCCTATGTTCAGCAGTGGGCAGCGTACGTTATACGTACGTTGCCCACTGCGCGCGTAGTGTTAGCGCAGGTTCTGTGGATGTGGATATAATAATATAAATGGATGCGGTAGCATGTTATGTTGAACATATCTCTCGGGTTGCGGTTGTGTATTAGTGTTTTAATATGAAATTTAAATTATTTTTATATCCTCGGTTCCAGTTATGCAAAAAAAAATACTTTCATAAACATCCGGTATAGCACTACAAAGATAAGGCAGTTGTGGCCCAAAAGTTAAATAGAAAATTAAAAACTAATATAAAAAGAATATTAAAAACCTACCATTGTGTATATACTTGTATTATTAATTCAAATAAGTATATATTATATATGCCCGTATATATATAGAAAATATGTGCCCATGTGTGTATGTGTATGTGTGTTATCCTTATGTATATATTTATGTATGTATGTGTATTATATCTATGTATATGTATATATATTATATGTGTGTATCTATATAATGTATTTAAGGTAGCCACTGAAAATCAGGGCTAGGATGACACATCTTAGCGTTTCCTGAGTGGCAGTCCTATTTGGACCATTTCCTATTTTTTTTAAAAATTGTGTTTTTTTTTTAAGTTAACTGTGTAAGTGTATAATTAAGTCTACTTATAAGAATACCTAATTATAATGTATGTTTTGAATATTTATTGCTAATTTTTTAAGAAATGGCCAAATAAATATCTCTTTCTTTCTTTCTTTCTTATACTTACACAACGGTTCAGTAGTGTAATGGACTTCCGAACGTTTGGTCACGGATACGAATTCCGTAAGGAACATGTATTTGCATAGTCTACAGATGTTACATATGCAATTTATGAATGTAAATCCACCTATCATACAGGAGCAATCCTTTTGCGGGTGTAACATTATTTTTAACTAGATAAAAAATAGAGCCGTAAAGGGACTAAGTGCCCGCTGTAAATTTCACAGTACGCGAGCAACCCTACTTCGATCTCCGCCGTCATCAATGAAATTGTTAATTGCAATTTTGACTGCTGATTTACCAAGTACGTGAAGGGAAAAATCGCGAGGAAAACTGCATGACTGAGAAATAAAATAAAATATTTCGAAGACATATAAAGTTCGCCAACACGCATTGGGGCAGCGCGGCGGACACTTCCTTGCCCTAAAACACTCTGAGAAATTAGCGGAGGCCTGTGCCCAGCAGTGAGACGTATATAGGCTGTAATTTTAACTTATACTTAACATAGAAAATAAGTAATAACGGACGTCATGTCTTTTAAAATATAATATATATAATATAATATTCCACAACTATCACACAACGCCATCTAGTCCCAAGCTAAGCAGAGCTTGTGTTATGGGTACTAGACAACTGATAAACATACTTATATATTTCTAAATACATAAATATTATAGATAAAATTACACCCAGACACAGAACAAATGAGTGCTCATCACACTAACATTTGTCCTGGGTGGGAATCGAACCCACGACCTCCGTCATAGCAGTCAGGGTCACTAACCACTAGACCAACAGGCCTGTCAAAAATGCTTTAATTTAACAGACACTTTTTGAAATGTTAGAAGCTTTAACGGAAAAGTATTTCATTGTTTCTTTTTATTACAGTCTGTCAAAGTACAGAACCCAGGCCTCTACAAACACTGCCTAATAAGGGTATATTTGCCATAAATGCAACGCTTTTTAAGTGGGTTTTCTTTCTAGTCGTTATTAGGAAGACTCTGCTGCCCATTTTCTGGTTTGCTTCCATCTGTCACTTCTTACCAAACCCATGGGAGGATACGGAGCACTACGGGACCGAGCGGTCGCATGCGACCGCATCCACCCACAGCACTTAAAACCATTAAAACTTATATTTAGAGACTACTTTTCTAAGAAGAAGTTTAGCATTATAAAATCTATACGAAAATCTCTATCCTGTGGTCTAGTCAGGTTTTACTTCATTATAAAAAAGCTATTGTATTTTGATAACATAAAACGGGTACATAACAAACGGATGTCGGCAGCGTGAAAATCACTATTATATTACTCGATATTATTTACTTAAAAAGATACATTATATTCACACAAAAACTTTCATTACAATTTTATAATAAGACACTATAGTAAAACACTAATAAAACACTAGAAAAATCCAAAAATCAACACCACAACATTCAAATAAAAATGGCATACGTAATGAACGTAGGTTATAAATAAATATCCACAGACTAACTGACTTTTTATTGTACTAGAGGATAGAAAATTTCATATTGATCCTATAATGCCAAACTTCTTCATAGAAAAGTAGTCTCTAAATATAAGCTATAATGGTTTAAAAAGCTGTGGGTATGCGCGGTCGAAACCGACCGCTTGGGAGGTTGACGGAACAGCGCCGCGGTCAAATTCGACCGCTTAGGGATTGAGAGGTTAACTTGAAAACTTGGCGAGTTAAGTAGAAAATATCGATTGAACGGCAATTAAATATAATAAACAAGTTGCAAGTTAACAATTAAGTTGAAAAGGATAGCTGGCTGGTCTATTTTTCGGCGAGTTAAGTTCGAAGTGTTGCCCTCCCGCGCATCTCCCGCAACTCGATGCTCTTGTGAACGAGCGAGTTTAGTTCAGTGCATAAGTTGACAGGACGCAACGTATTCGCGTTTGACCCTCAAAACATAAAATTGTACTTTTTTTAATTAAACTCGCCACGAAGATATTTGAACGCTACTGTCCACTTAACAGTTTACCGTCAACTGCCCTGTAACTAAACTCACTACTGTGTTTGTCGAAGTATGAATCGGCTCATATTTTAACGATTAACGCAGAGCCAGTGATGTAATGGGTCTACTACGAGACCACTCTCTCACAGAATACCAGTGTAAAATATCAGCCTAACGCTGCTGTGTTCCGTGTGGTGAGTGAAGAAAAGTGTAGTGCCCCTTCTAACTGGAAACGAGGCAGTTCAACTGTCCTCAGAGATGATAATGCATCTGCATTTAGATTCTTAGTTGAAGATAAATGTAGATGTCTATGGGCCGCAGCATCCACTTAAGTGGACCGTGTGCTCGTTTGTCACGAATTAAATGGATTTAATTCGTGAGTCAGCTTCTTATGCAGCCCCACCCCCCTCTCGCTATCGTGTCCGCAGGCCGAGAAACTCTCTCTCGGACCCGCCTAATAAACTTTCAAACGACCTGAACTGTCTCCTGGCGGCTCAGGCCAACTCTAATTAAATAAAATTATTGTAATATCTAACATTAATTTGCCTTCGTAGGCACTCCCTCAGCGGCAATTAGCCGCCTGCGCCCTCTTTTCCCAAAAGAGGGTCGCTCATGATAAGGCACAATAGAGCTTAATCAGCCGGTTGCCTGTCCCCAAAGGCGGTTTTTAGAGGGTATCACTTAGGGTCCCCGGTAGGACAGTGAGCCCCTCATAACCACGATAGACCAGCTATCGTGGTATGCGTAATGCATTTTCCGCCTCCCTACGTATATGGTAGCCCTTTAATTGCTTCGGACGCAAAAAAAAATCGTTTGTCACCCTTATTCTATAAAAAAGACTACACAGTCTCTAGTAACTAGTCTCTCTCTAGTATCTATTATTTGAAATTGAGTCTTTGGTAGACTCAATTTCAAATACACAAAAACGCTCTCTCTCTTTCCCTCTTATATCCTCTTTTTCTCTCACTCGCTGTATCCTGATACTCACTTGGCGAGCTGTGACGGAGTAACGTAGACCGTGTCCTCGTTGGTTTGCGCCAGTTCCGAGGCTGGGTAACGGATTGTCCCCACTTTCACAGTCTTCGGGTTTATAGCCTGGCGACAAAAATAATATTATAGTAATGGGCTTAAGAGGATACCTTGAAAATGAATCGAAGTTTTGGGGGCGTGGCTTATTCCTTTGTCGGTGAAGCTAACGGATGACTGACGGAATGGCAAAATGAAAGTGATGCAATGACTTCATAATACGTATAATATGAGATAGACATACCGAGCAAAAAATTAAGTAAGCGCCAAACAATATTTTTATTAATTTCAACAAAACTTCATTATGGATTAAAAAACTAGTTTATAAGAACTTAGATATGATTATTTACTATGCCTTCAAAATAATTCCATGAAATTATTCGTAAGAATATTGTGGTGTCATCGAGAAACGTAAAAAAAGTAAAGTTACAGCCTATATAGTCCCACTGCCGGGCACAGGCCTCCTCTCATTTCTGAGAGGGTTTAGGGCAAGGAAGTGTCCGCCGCGCTGCCCCAATGCGTGTTGGCGAACTTCACATGTCTTCTAAATATTTTTTTCTTATTCCTCAGACATGCAAGTTTCCTCACGATGTTTGCCTTCACCGACGAGCACGTGGTAAATCAGCACTTAAAATTGCAATTAACAATTTCATTGGTGCCGGCGGGGATCGAACCCGGGTTACTGCGTTCTGTTATATTTACAGCGAGCGTTATCCATCTGAGCTACCACGGCTCTTAGAGAAACGTAAATAATTAGTCTATTTTGCAATTTCTTTCTATCGAGAAAATTACATGATATCGTGTTTTCCTTTTATGCAATCCAAGGTCATATAGTCAAAAATAATATAGCAAAGTTTTGGTTTGTAATCTATAAAACTTAAAAAAATATGTTAAATAGAAAAACCACCAAATTTTCGAGGTATCATCACCTTAATATTCGAACTTCTTAGCACAAAACTCGTTCCAATTGAGTAAAATTATTTTTACGAAATTTATGGTGTTTAATTTACCTATTTTTAACAGCACCCATGGTCACGGGGGACTGAAGTGATTGACGTCCAGATGTCAAAGTTAAACCGGAATATCTTCAGTTTTTTTTTTATAATTAATTTTGGTCCGATCTACGCAGAATGAACTTACTGTATCTTAAGGTTGTGTAATGATATGCTCACATTTAGTTTTAATTTTATTAATTAGAGGATCCCAGGCAGGTGTCAGTACTTTAGCCTCCATCTAGATTTTTTTTTATTTCAATAGCCCCACGTATCATCCATAGTAGGAATCGTTCTTTTTCGAGGATTAGTGGTCTATCAAATCCGATGTAATGGCGAGGGCCGTCTAAGATACGATCACAAACTGCGGACTTCCCGGAGAGTAGATGTTCCACGACAGGTGTATGTTATTCATACATACATAATACATAAACACTCACGCCTGTCACCCAGAGGGGTAGACAGCGACTACAGACTTCCATTTGGCACGATCCTGACACGCCTCTATCGCCTCCTTCACATCCATATAAGGTATACGCATACATGCTCGTCGGTTAAGGGTACTCCTAATTTGGCCCGTTTTCAATAAATCGCCAATTTGGTCGATAAATTTTCGCTTAGGACGTCTCTTTCCGACTCTGCCATTCACTTCTGCATGAAAAATTTTCTTTGTCACTCTTTCCTCATTCATTCTTTCCACATGACCAAACCACCGAAGCATTCCTTTCTTAATCCTGGTCACTGCATCATCTTGCAAACTACACTCTTCTCTTATCACAAATTTTAGATTGACGAATGTAGGTAACAAACGTCTTGTAACCTAGACGCTAAGAAGAGTCTATTTCTCCTATCTAGCCTCTTGGACCTCGGTGATGTCTATTCATTTCATGTTAAAGTCCTTCCGATTATAATTAATTATTTAATGACTACTGTAATAAATGTCGATGGTCTAGCCATCACTCGTCGCTCTTAGCGTCTAATTTAAAACTCCGTCACATCTACCTCAGTTACCACAAGTACAATTTTCGTTTTATAGGCAGACACGATTTTTATTAACACAATAGACTGATATTATCGTGTTAAAAACAACAGTGTCTGCCTAGGTTTTTGTATGAATGTTTTTTTACAGTAATAAGAATTATTTATAAATAAATATATAAATAATTCTTATTACTTCTACAATAATTATTTCTTATTACTTGACATTGGCAAAAATACATTCGTACGCGTCATTTATCAAAGAAAAATAAACTATATAGAAAGTTAGACCAAAGGATATATTACTACACTCACTTCATTTGGAAAAAAATTTAATCCTTTGGTCCAAACTTGACTCCAGTTTTATAGGATTTGGGGAAATAATATTGATTATTTTCATAACCGACAGTCTCAAAGTAAACACGCAAACTCAGTGTGCTTATTATATTTATTATTGTTAAATTATTTAAAGTATTCGTTCTTTCTAAATAAATGTGTTAAAACACTGCTAAAGTCTACTAACACGTGCTGTTCTTAACAACTTCTATCTTTTTATTGCTAAAGCACAGTTTTGCATAACAGTCTAATATGGACCCACAGCTTGTAAATAATCTTGATGAACTGGAAAAATTATTTGCTTCTCGCATGCGTGAGTATGAAGATAAGCTTTTAAAAGCCACAGCTGTTTCCTCGCCAGTTCACCCAGACATTTCTTCACTGTCCAAGGACTTCAACGATTTCAAATCCTTTGTTTGTCAATCGCTATCGCTGATCAGAAAACAATTGGACTTAGTTACATACAATATTGACAAACATGAAACAGCAATGAGAAGAAAAATACTGCTTATCCATGGTTTTTCTGAAAGACAGAATGAGAAGTTGCATGAATCGGTATATAAGCTGTTTTCCGACCAAATGAAGGTGACCGATTTGAAAGTCGAGGATTTACAAATATGCCATCGTCTTGGATCTTCTCAAGCCTCAACACGTCCAGTGCTTGTTAAATTTGGTAGTCTGGAGAGTCGTCGTCTTGTCTGGGATAACAAAACTTCACTAAAAGGTTCAGGTATCACGATATCCGAGTTTTTGACTAAGACAAGGCACAAAGTATTTATGACAGCTCGTAAACATTTCGGGATTAAGAATTGCTGGTCCGTAGAAGGCAAAATAGTTATTATTTTGCCGGACAAATCACGTCAGAGGATTGAGTCTATGGCAGAACTAAAACCCCTTATCAAACCAAAGTGTAGTACGGTCAATGACCCTGGGCAGTCTAAGGAACCCACTTCTCCAAAGAAAGTTGCGTCCAGATTGACTACTAATGCTCCACGGAAGGCTCGTCGCCGCAGCTAATCCCTAGTTTCGTTGTTTTCTTTCAGAAAATATAGGTATATATCATAATCATTGTTTTTGTTTGTTTTTGTTAGCCGCTTTACAACCACTTTGTAATACTGTTTTATAATTACTTTATATTTCTGTAATAATGATACATTTTTCCAGCTGGTACTTTCATAATAAGATAAGCATTTAATTACACACAGTAGTTATCAAAATGTCTATTTTATCATTCACATTTGCGTAAGCATCATACTAGTCTGTGATTCACATTGAATTGCATTGAATTGACGCTCGTGAGTTTTGAGATGCTATTATGCATTTTTTTATTTACTTTTTCTCTTAGTTGTGACGCACGGCCCTTTGGCCACTGTGCTACTGTCAAGTTGTAGCTTGGGAAATGTATTATTTATTCTGCTTTGCAGTAATATGTAATAGTGTTTTTCAATATTTTTATTAATCTCTTAAGGAAGTTTAATATGTATATAATTATAAGATAGGTTCATTTCATAACATTTTAAACTTCTTTTCTTTTTTTTTATCGAATCTTATGTATAAATTATACTCTCATAAGATTTTTTTCTTCTTCAGTATTTCATGATAGTTCTGTGATTGGTGATTTTAGATGTTTTTTAATTTTTTTTCTGTTCCGTTTGTTTTAGATTATACCTAAGTTTGGTTTTATTTTAAATTAAGTAATTGCTAAATTGATATTTATAAATATATACATATATATTGTATTTACATATCATATTTATACATATTTCATAAACCGTATTATTATATTTACATTTTATATTATATTATTGTTATATTACTATACATTATTATATTATCTTAATTAATTTGCTAAATGGATAATCTTGATGTTTTTGATGACAGTTTCTTCTCATGCTCTTCATCTTCATGTAGTTTTACAAGTGCGGATAGTGAGTTACCTTTAACTTTGTGTGACCAGATTTCATCCCTGCGCTCTAAATTTCCTAACAACTTTAATGTTGCACACATTAACATCCAGAGTGTTCCTCGCCATTATCCTGATCTTCTAGCATCAATTAACAGTGCATATCTCGATGCTTTACTAATTTCTAAGTCATTTCTCAAGCCATCACTCCCCTCTACACAGTTTGCCTTACCTGGTTTTGTCCTTATTCGTAATGATCGTATAGGAAAAGGTTGTGGTGGGATAGCTATATACCTGCGTTCGGATATATTTTATAAGACCATATGTGCCTCTCCTTCTATTTACTCTCAATCTGCTGAATATCTCTTTATAGAAGTTACTCTCAATCATGTAAAAATGTTGCTGGCGGTATTTTACAGTCCTAACATGCACATAGATTACTTTGATACGCTTGAAAAAATCCTTGCTGATTTTAGTACTACTTACGATCATATTATTCTTATGGGAGATTTCAACACCTGCCTTATTAAAAATGATTCTCGCTCCCAAAAACTTCTGACTTTGGTATCTTCCTTCAATCTTCTCACTCTCCCTCTTCAGGCAACTCATCACTTCCCTAACTGTAACCCTTCTTTGCTTGATATTATGATCGTTTCTTCTCCTGATAGTGTCATGTCTCATGGACAAATAACTGCCTCTTTTTCATATCATGATTTAATCTACCTCTCTTATCGTCTCTGTCCACCTAAAAAGAAATCCCAATACTTGTTCCTTCGTAATTACAAGGGAATAGATCTGGAGTCACTGCAGCGTGATATAAGTAATGTTGAATGGACACCTATTGTTGACAATACTAATATTAATGATAAGGTTTGTAACTTTAATGATATAATTTTGAAGGTATACAATAACCATGCCCCGCTCAAACGCGTAAAAATAAAGCGTAATCCTGCACCATGGATTACACAAGATATAAGAGAACTTATGGGCCAGAGGGACAAAGCTAAGCAAAGGTTTAAACGTCTCCCATCTGAAAATAACTTAAATCGTTTTAAATTTTTACGCAACCGCTGCAGTCGCTTGTGTCGGTATGCTAAAAGACGCTACTTTTACAACTCTCTACATAATAAAAATTCTACTGAGATGTGGAAGTTCCTTCGTTCTGTTGGTGTGGGCAGGTCTCCGATCCTAGAATACAATGACGTTAATGTAAAGGATCTGAACAATCACTTTGCTACTCCTCCTATGACTTTAGATCCTTACATCAAATCCACCACACTACTCGCATTGGCGGGTATACCAAAACCGCCCGTTTGCCCTTTTCATCTTTCCCTTGTAACGGAGGAAGATGTAAAAAAATCCATCCTAGCCATCTCTTCAAATGCTGTTGGTATTGATGGTCTATGTGCGAAGATGATTTTGCTAGTTCTACCTTTGCTTCTACCAATTCTTACTCACATATTTAATTTTTCTATATCGTCATCATCTTTTCCTTCAGTTTGGAAACAAGCATATATAATTCCTCTGCCTAAGGTTTCTAATCCTTCTTCTTTGTCCCACTTTCGTCCCATATCTATTTTACCCTTTCTTTCTAAAGTTTTGGAACACATCATCCATAGTCAACTCTCTCTCTTCTTATCGTCTAACTCCTTGCTCTCCACTTATCAGTCGGGCTTTCGTCGTGGACACAGCACTGTCACTGCTTTACTTAAAGTAACCGATGATATCCGTTGGGCCATGGACAATAAATCTCTTACACTTTTAGTTTTGCTTGACTTTAGTAGTGCTTTTACCTCAGTAGACTTTGATATTCTTCTCCGGATCCTGGAATCTATAAACATTTCCCCATCTGCCATTGCATGGTTTGATTCATATCTTCGTGGTCGATCACATTGTGTCCGTGTTAATGACACTCTATCCGATTGGTCTGGTATCACTACGGGTGTACCTCAGGGTGGCGTTCTTTCCCCCCTTTTATTTTCCATATTTATTAACTCTATTACGAGTGTTATTACATCTAATTACCATCTCTACGCGGATGACTTACAGCTTTATCGTCATTTTCCGGTGGGTGATACAAATAATGCAATTGCAGCTATGAATGCGGATCTGGGCCGCATCTGTGAATGGTCTGCATCCTTCGGACTATTAGTTAATCCCACGAAATCTCAGGCCATCATAATAGGCAGTAGGCATTTGCGTAATAGATTAGAATTTATATCACTACCTTTTGTTTGTTTTAATGGCGTTCCTATACCCTTTGCTAATACTGTCAAAAACTTAGGCGTCATATTTGATCACCATTTAACATGGACCACGCATATCGCTGAAGTTAGTCTCAAGGTCTACTTTACTTTGCATTCTCTTAAATGTCTACAAAATTTCTTACCCCTTAAAGCTAAAATTTCACTCGTGCTTACTCTTATCCTACCTCTCCTTGATTATGCGGATGCCTGTTATTTGGATGCTACAGAGGAGCTTCTTAATAAACTTGAGCGCTTGCAAAATCAGTGTATCCGTTTCATATTTGGGCTCAAGAAATTTGACCGTATATCTCAGTTTCGTAAGCAACTCAAGTGGCTCCCAATTCGACTTCGAAGGAACACTCGATTGTTATGTCTCCTCTATAACATTTTGCACAACCCTTCCTCTCCCACATACCTCAGAAGCCGATTTTCCTTCACCCATCCTCCAGACAAACCATGCAGATCCCTTGTTAAAAATCTTCTTGACTTTCCCGTCTTTAATTCCGGTTTTTACTCCCACTCCTTTTCAGTTCACGCGGTAAGATTATGGAACTCACTACCGTCAAATATAAGAAATTCCGAAACTTTGTTGGTATTCAAGAAACGTCTTAGAGATAACTACTTTGCATCCTGTTAATTTATATTATATATATATATATATATATATATATATATATATATATATATATATATATATTCATATGTAACTATTGTGTATATTATTTATTTTTTAGTAGTACTAATGTATGCACTAAGTTTGCAATTTAAATATAATTTCCTTTATGGGTCTACTGGAAGATATTTCAGCGAATTTGGAATAAGTAGAACCTTTGTACGTAATTACTATAAGACTGCTTCTGTACCTTAATGTGTGTACATAAAATAAATTAAAAAAAAAACCGATTACTAAATATAACCGTGTAAAAATAACAAATTATCAACATCACATCTGAACTTACAGCTGCCAATTCCGGTGCGGGAAACTCAGCGAAGTCAGCCTCCACGCATCTCCAGGGCCGATGCAGCATTAGAAGGTTACGTGCCTCCGCCTGAAGCGCCGCCAAACGCTCCTGTGAAATGTACAAATTTATTTACCGAACAGTTCAGTAAAAGAAATAAATAAGTAATTAACGACCTCATAGTATAGTACGCAGCAGTGTAAGGAGGCGGGTTCGAACCGTACACTGTGAAAAGGAACCAAGGTTCGGTGGTCCTCTGCTGCGACCGCGATGGACCAATTGAAAAGGACCAACGGGAATTAAACGTTCGATTAAGAAACAGAAAGGAGGAATCGAGGCTTCTCTCGATCCAGCCTCCTATAACGCCTACATTGGGTTCGGGAACAACGTGTGCGATCTCCGCAACGGAGTAACACACAAGGGCGATAACCTCTTCCTTTTCAGCGAGTAGGTTCAGACGGGGATTACGGGTCTTCCGAAGTCGTCCCAGTCCCAACGCCTTAATTCTTCGATGTGGACTGTATAATCTTGAGGGATGAATTACTTGGGAATAAAACAGCAATTATCTTCAAACCGTTCCGTGAGAGAGTAATCACTTTTTCCCTATCACTTCACTTTTCTCGAACTTTCTTCCCGAACTTTTCCGAACGATTCCCGGACTTTTTTCCCGAAGGATTCCCGAACTTTTTTCGAACGATTCCCGAACTTTTTTCGAACGATTCCCGAACTATCTTCCCGAACGATTCCCGAACGAATTGCAATAAAACTCATTTACTAAGCTACCCCAGAGCTATACGCGAAAGTGAGCCGCGCCATTCGCGCGCTTGCGCAACTCAATTACATGAATTTGTTCTATTACTCTCTCACGTTTTACTTAATTACTTTATTTGCATAAGTCATACATCAACATAATTTACCTGTATAGATAGCACAAAACAATATCTACACTACGATATACATTACAATTTTATATCACGAAAAACCTATTATTTATTTAACAAAATATGCCTATTTTACTCACAAGTTCAAAGTCGAAATTTCTTAAATATTTAACATAGAAAGCTAAAACAATGTTTTCCACTTGAAATTATACATATGTTAACTAATACAATAGTTTAATTTACATTTTCTCTATTTATTTCACTATTAAAACACTTTTAAATTTCTTATACAAAACTATCATTATTTCACTTATACACAGGAATTTTCACATAAAAATAACACAGAATTCACCTTTTTAGCACGTACAATCAACCTGAAATGTTTTACAAGTCATTTTTACATAAATTGCTGAAATTACAAATATTTAAATTTTTACATATTTGGCCTCCTAAGTACGTGGCTAGCGTGCGTCTATGAACTCACACTATTTGAACAACTAACTTTTGCACGGCTCTCGGCTATCAGAAAAAATGAAAGTCTGATATACACCAATTTTAACAATATTGGGTGAATAAATGCTTCTACACAATTTTCAAACTGTAGGAAACTATTTCTAATCAGATTCTTATCAGTTATCATGTTTCTTATCAGATAACAATATAAGTGAATGTTCTCATAAATCGATCATGGCAAATAAGCATTTGTTTTCGTACAAAACATATCAAACTTATATAAGACAATACTTATGCGATTAATTTCCGTTAATTCTATTTATGCACAGAGTGATCATCTCGACCGGGGAACAAATCCGATCTCTAACTTCACTTTAATATTCCTTTGAATTTACATCATTGGAAAGATGATTTCAACCGGGGAAACAATCCGGTAACATAATTTATATCTTAAATTCCTTATGAATTTATTAAGCGATATTACTTAGGAAAACAAATAAACTAGTCCGGCCTGGGAGTCGAACCCAAGACCTTCATATCATTAATTCGATATTTCTTTAAGATTTAACTAAGCATTATCTTATCAGAACCTTGCTATTGGACAATATGCCTTTGAGAGAAGTTATTCGTCATCGGTTGACTTAATAAACTGAAATATTCTAATAGGCGCGTCGCCAACGTACACAGAATAAGAGTTTGTATGATCTACAAATAATTGTTCCAGGTCTAGATGTATGTCTTTGTGCAATTTATTTAATTTTTATATGTTAGATATATAAACTTATGTAATTCTCATATAGTGTATTTATTTTGGCAGAAAGCCTTGTAGCTATTGTCATAATAAAAAAACAATGTCTATGTACAAGTTAAACTCACTTCAAGCTGCCGTCTTATTTCTCGTTGCTTCTCCTTATGTTGCTGCAGCGCTTTGCCGTACTTGCTCGGGTCGTCGGGGAACTTCACGAGACCTGAACGCGCCACAAATAACGTCCACTCCTGAAAGAGAATAGCGTTAATGTAGACGCTCCCTTATTATTATAATATTGATAACTTAATAAATGTGGGACGGAACGTAAAGAAATGAAGTGACAGAATGAATGTGTGATAAAGATAGCAAGATGACAGTATGAAAGTGAGTGAAAGAGCAAGTATTTAAAATGAGTGAACAATGAGCAAATGACTGAATAAGAAGTAAGAATGAAGGGAAGTTAGATTTTAAGGACTAGCAAACGGGTAGCCATTGTGACAAGACGATATAGCTGTGAAGAGAGAGATTAAACCTGCAAGTCAAACACCAAGCTGTGTTTCATTCTAAACAAAACAAAGTCCACAAGAATTTTGGGGGTTCGTCCGCTCCCGTGCACATAAAAGCCCGTGTAAAATAGCTTGCAATTATATTCGTTTTAGCACGAATGGGTCGCGACTCGGACCGGGGTAGTACCACGCTCTTACAGAATCATCATCATCATCATCATTACAGCCCTTCACAAGTCCACTGCTGAACATAGGCCTCCCCCAAGGTATGCCACAAAGCACGGTCCTGAGTCACCTGCATCCATCGACTTCCTGCATGTCTTACCAGGTCGTCACTCCATCTAGTGGGGGGTCGCCCTACATTTCGCCTACCGGTACGAGGCTGCCACTCGAGAACCTTTCTCCCCAACGGTTGTCGGTTCTTCGAGCTATATGGCCGGCCCGTTGCCACTTCAGCTTACTAATCCGTTGGGCTGTGTCGGTCACTGTGGTTCTACTGCGGAAATCCTCATTTCTAAGTTTATCGTGCAGGGAAACCCCGAACATAGCCCTTTCCATAGCTCGCTGAGCTACTTTGAGCGTCCTCACACGGCCAGCAGTGAATATCAGCTTAACACTGATGTGTTTCTTATGGTGAGTGTAGAGAACCGGAGACCCTTTTTACTGGAATCGAAACTTTCCATCTTAGTCCTCACGGGTGACAACGTATCTGCATTATGATTTTAATCGAGCATAGATGTAGATGTCTATGGACCACCTGTGTCTATGGGCGTCCTGTGTGCTCGTTTGTCACCCTTATTCTAAATAAAAAAAGCTGACGTGAGACACTGACGTAGCATATAATTTGTGTGGAATGTAAGTGCGTTTACGTGCAATGCGTGTTTCAAGAGCACTATCCTCGTGCATAGTGTAAGTGGTCGATCTTGTGACGGTGAGTATGTATAGGACTTATATTAGTTAGGAGAGGTCTCGGGTTCAAATTCTGCGTCGAGCCAAATCAGTTATTGATTCCTTCCCTCAAGAAATTTTCAGTAACAGCCCGGAGTCAGAACGTTGATGTTGTTTTACACCCGAGCCTCGAAACCATCAATATCGCGTAGGGTTCCCGTTCCATTGGGTTATGCGCATGAGGGAATAGAGAGGGCACCTGTGCCAGCGCATAAGTGCACTATAACCCAGTCTTGTGTCGATGGCTAGTACTCATTGAGAGTAAACTTTATCTGTAGGGTATTATTACTATGTATGTGTGTCGTCACAGCCACAACCACCTGCATCCATCGACTTCCTGCATATCTCACCAGCTCGTCACTCCATGTAGTGGGGGGCCGCCTTACACTTCGTTTACCGGTAAGAGGTTTCCACTCAAGTACCTTTCCTCCACATCAGTCCATGCAGGTTGCTCAGGATCGTGTTTTTTGGCGTTCCTTGGGGGAAGGGAAGGGAAGGGTAGGGGAGGAGAAGGGTAGGTTAACCTCTCAACCACCTAGCGGTCTCATGAGACCGCGGCCATATTCCGTAAAATCCCTAGCGGTCTCATGAGGGCGAGCCCACGCACAGCACTTTAACCCATAAAAACTTATATATAGAGACAACTTTTCTATGAAGATGTTTGGCATTATATAATCAAAATTTTCTATCCTCTTGTGCAATAAAAAGTTAGTTATGTAATAGATATTTATTCATAATCTACGTTCATTTCGTACGCCATTTTCGCGTGAATGTTATTGTATTGATTTTTGGCTTTTTCTAGTGTTTTAATAGTGTTTTAGTATAGTGTTTTATTACAAAATTGTAATGAAAGTTTTTGTGTGAATATAATTTATCTTTTTACGTAAATAATTTCGAGTAATATATAATGAAATAATTGTGATTTTCACGCTGCCGACATTCGCTTGGTATGTTTTTTTTTTGTTATCAAAATACAATAAAATCTTTTTGTAATGAAGTACCGACTTTACCCGACTTTTGTTTAGACCACAACATAGAGAATTTTGTATAGATTTTATAATGCTAAAGTTCTTCATAGAAATGTAGTCTCTAAATATAAGTTTTAATGGTTTTAAGTGCTGTGGGTGGGTGCGGTCGCATGCGACTGCATTCGATTTTTATGGCGCTTGAAGGGTTAATGTTGATGATGTGTATAGTGTGTTAAGTGTTGTACCTGCAGCGGGCTAAATACAGTGTGCGCATGTGTGCATGTATACGTGTACGTGTGCACGCGTACGTGTATTGTTGTATGTGTGTTGACGTGTGCATGTACTTTTGTAGTGTGTACGTGTGCACGTACCGCGTGCAACTTGGCAAGGTCACGCTCGAGCTGCAGCGCGGCGCGGCGGCGCGCGGCCGCCTCCGGCGCGGCGGGGTGCTGCAGCGGGCGCAGCGCTCGCACCGCGCCGCGGTCCGCTCGCCGCGCAGCCGCCACTCGGGCCGCACGCTCGCGCTCCACTGTCCTATACACGGGACACGAGCGCTTTTTACTTTTTATGCCATCCATATCCATCCATATACGTGTTAGAGCCATGCTGCAGTTATATTAGTAGTATAGTTGTAGCACGAATGGGTCGGCTCGACCGGGGAAGGACCACGCTCTCACAGAGTACCAGCGTCAAATAGTAGCTCAATGCTGCTGTGTTTCGTATGGTGAGTGTAGAGACCGGAGACCCTTTTTACTGGAAACGAGGCATTCCATCTTAGTCCTCACGGGTGACAACGCATCTGCATTTTGATTCGTAATCGCAGATAGATGTAGATGTCTATGGGCCGCAGCAATTACTTACCATCAGGTGGACTGTGTGCTGTGTCACCCTATCCTATAAAAAAATCCATCCATATATTACAACCAAAGACTTCTATGTATTAGTGTATACATAGAAGTCTTTGGTACACCGGCAATTCAAAACAAAAATGTGTTACAAATGGCTTCATTCGTTGTATTACAAATCGCAATCAATTACAAAGAAATTTACGTTCTCATCCTCAAAACGAAATTCAAATAATAATAATAATAATAAAAATAATAATAATAGTATAAAAGCTAAACATGAAAAGTTTTTGGAATTATATTTAAAGAATAGCACATTAAAAAAACAAAAGTTAGTTATTCAGATTTATTACCGTGAGTTTGCACTGACGCGATTTTCACAAAAAGTTGTTTTAAACACTGTTTTCTGTCAATGTATCAAAAAGCGTTTGCATAGTCATAGAACATGTAGTACTGAAATATGTTTGACAGTTTATTGTACATTACATATTTTAACTATATTAAATCTTTATAACTACAGAAACAAAATGTTTGAAAACAAATGTGTAGAAATATCATGTTGAAAAATAAGTTTGAATATCTGTTGGAAATTTTACACAGTTTTTGTGAGTGCGAACGCCACCATCAACAAAACATGTTGTGTGATTTACTTTATGCGATTTGTTTTAAAACATTACGTGTTGGATGTTTTTCGATGCAAACGTAGGGTTACAAATACAAACAACTCCATTACATTCGGTCAACTATTTTTATAAATGTTTTGCAAATGTAGGTAAAATATTGTTAAAAATTTTACAACTAGAAACAAGAGATGGGCCGAATATTCATTTTATGTTCGGTATTCGGTATTCGGCAGCTTTACAGAATATTCGTATTCGGTCGAATATTCGGCTAAATCACCGAACATTCGTTTTCATAGTGTCCAATATATTGCAATGTACGAATTGAGTAATGCGATGTCTTTTACTGTTGAAAGTATATTTTATTTATGGGTTAAATCTACTTACTCTAGAGTGCCTCAAATGCATAAATCTATACATTTATGTTTTTAAGGAACTGTAGATTTGTTTCCGATTATGGCAAATAGAAACTTGATAAAATGTTTTTGGAATCAAACAAAGAAACATTACATTACATTAGTACATTTCACTTTGGTCGTCAGTTTCTCTAAAATAAGTCCAAATAGTAGATCTTCTGCAGCTCATTTTCATCATATAATTATCAATTTTCACAAAGAATAACACAACGAAATACTTTTTTATCACAAGAATAGTCAAAACATAAGCATGTGCCGGCAATTTGCTCAGTACTAGATGATGCAATAATATGTCAGGTAGAGCGGGGGAGCGAAGGGCAGGGTCCGGCACTAATCCCGCCCGCTTTACGGTAACATGTTTCGACATAAATTGGTTGGGTACCAAGGTGACCCTGCCGAATAATGTTCAGCCGAATATTCGATCCGATAAAAAGTACCGAACATTCGTCCGAATATTCGTATTCGGTGGAATCTATATTCGGCCTATCCCTACTAGGAACACTACAACACTAACGAGAAAGTCTGCTTTCTTCGCTAGTCAAGCTAGATACGGATCCTCACAAGGTATATCAACAGATGGGCCATGATACAGCTATATTATGGTTGCAGCACGAAAAGTTCCGCTCGGCCACGATAGCACCACACTCTCACAAAATACCAAAGTAAAAAAGCAGTTTAAGGCTTATGTTTTTCGTATGGTGAGTGCAGAGAACCGGAAACCTTTTTTTAACCTCTCAACCCCCTAGCGGTCTCATGAGGTCGCACCCACCCACAGCACTATAACCCATAAACACTAATATATAGAGACTACTTTTCTATGAAGAAGTCTGACATTATACATCATGTAACAAAAACCCTGTGGTTCCCGTTAACTGCGTTATCAGAATGAGTATCCAAGCATATATAAATATAGAAATATTTTTTTAAAACACATTTTTAAAAAAATTTATGAAAAAAAAATTGCAAATTGTATGTGGTTTTTTATCTCTGCATTGGCCGAGGAGTAAGAGGATTGTCAAAGACCCCGCAGTACCGATACTCGTGTGAGTTAGAGGAAATAAAACCACATACAATTTGCAAATTAATTTTTTTTTCATCAAAATCATTTTTTTTAAAAAAATATTTCTATATGCTTGGATAATGATTCTGAAAACACATTTAACGGGAACCACAGGGTTTTTGTTACATATTGTATAATCAATATGAAATACTCTAACCTTTAGTGCAATAAAAAAAAACTATTATCCTATGAATATATATTTATAATCTACGTTCATTTCGTACGCCATTTTCGCGTGTTGTTTTTTGGATTTTTCTAGTGTTTTATTAGTGTTTTAGTAAAGTGTTTAATATAAAAATGTAATGAAAGTTTTTGTGTAAATATAATTTATCTTTTTAAGTAAATAATTTCGTGTAATATATATTGAAATAATTGTGATTTTCACGCCGCGGACATTCGCTTGGTATGTTTTTTTTTTCTTACCAAAATACAACAAAATCTTTTAGTGATGAAGTAAAACCTGACTTTTGTTTTGACCACAAGATAGAGAATTTTGTATAGATTTTATAATGCTAAACTTCTTCATAGAGAAGTAGTCTCTAAATATAAGTTTTAGTGCTGTGGGAGGGTGCGGTCGCATGCGACCGCTCGGGATTTGCCGAGCGCATGCAACTGCATGAGATTTTTATAGCGCTTGAAGGGTTAATAGACGCATCAGCATTTCGGTCCTTAATCAAGGATAAATGTAGATGTCTATGTGCTCCCGGTTAGAATAACATTTGAGCACACTTATACTCTGCCTTTGTTTGAATTTTCGTATTAAACAAGGTGTTTTACCTAAATAATTAAAACGAGCTGTTAAAATTCGATATATAAGAATGAGGATAGTGATAATGTTAGTGTTTATAGGCCAATTTCAGTACTTCCTGCGATTTCTAACACAAGACTTTTAAGTTATCTTCTACGTTGGATATCTTGTCAAACTGACAGTATGCGTTTAGCTAAGGTAAATCCACAGAAGATGCGATCTTGGCTCTTACCTCGATTATAATTAATGACTTAGATCGGGGTAAAAGATTTCTTGCCGTTTTTCTAGATTTGAAGAAGATCTTTGATACTATGTTTATCGCCATCTTACAAAAATTAAAAACATCAGCATGAGAGACATAACCTTGACACTGTTCAAAGATTGTCCATCAAACCGTATACGATAAGTTAAAATAGTTCATTTTATTAGACACATATGCCACTTGCGGCGTAGCGCAAGTCAGTACTTTGGGCGTTATTTCTAATTTATTTCAACGATCTTTGTAACCTGAAAATTAATGGTGCCCAAAGGTTCACATATTCCGATGATACCATTGAAGTTTTTACTGGAATTTTATGAGATGAGATTAAAAAAGATACAAAATCTGCCCTCACTAAAATTGTTAACAAATTTCCTGTCAATTAATGCACTTACAACTAACTATACTTAATTTACTATTAAAATCGGGCTTAAACGGGAAATAAAATAAGCACTTTTTTGCCTTCGCCTTCACACACTATTAAAAAAAGAACATTTGTCAGTAATTAATTATTGGCAATATTTTAAAATTATTTGGCGATAATATTTACTCTGTCAGACTGATTGACCACAGATTATTAAGTATTTGACATTGGCCTTATAGTAATAACTTACATATGCTTAGACATACTTTGAGACATTGGTAGATTGAAGAAGTCACAAACGAAGTAATTTGTTCACACGAGAATTACGAGTTTGACATTGGCAGTCTGAAAGTATACAATGTAATATGTTTTATTTTATTTTATTCCTTTATATTAGCTTTCTGCACTCCTTCTACACACAAACTTGCGAGACCTAGAACTCGTCAGTACGCGTGTATAGGTCAGATATACGCTTAAAGAGGGGCACAAAGTTTTCCCTTCACATATTAATAATAATATATAGATAAAGAACACTTTATGTCGATCTTATTCATTAGAACATTCCGCTTTCAATAAGAACATAACGCTTAACAATATGTTTAAAAGAGAAAAGGTATTTTACTTGTCGAAATAAGGTTCCGTTTATATTACGTAAATAAATTAGAGCACTGTCTATTTTTAAGGCCCACACATTTATAACATGAAACAGAAACAGAAACAGAAACTTTTTTATTCAATGTAGATTATAACAATACTTATTGAAAGTCACTTTTTTCATTTACCACTGGTTCGCAAAAAAAAACCTCTGTCCTGGGAAGAACCAGCAAGAAACCCAGCGGGACTATTTTTTTTTTCCAATAATAGCTTACAATAATGTTTACAATAAACAACACAAGACAATTAGAAATAGCTTGGTAGCGATCACCCTTCCCAGGGGTTATTATCATCCATAAATTCCTTAATGTTATAATAACCCTTTTTATACAAACTTAGTTTAATAACATTTTTGAACTTTGTGTATGACAAATTTTGTATATTTTCTGGGATTTTGTTGTAAAAGCGTATACATCGCCCCAAGAATGAATTACTGACTCGGTGGAGTCGAGTAACTGGTACTACCAGCTTGTGTCTGCTCCTAGTTTACTAAGTGTTGGCAGTACAGAAATAGGTCTAAAATTAGCGGGGTCCAATGTACTACCAGATTTAAATAAAGGTATTACTTTACTATGCTTCATTAAATCAGGAAACACACCAGATTCAATACTAGTATTAAAAATAATAGATAGTTGAGGTGCGACACTTGACATTACCCTTCATTTTTTAGAAGGTGAAAATAATATCCCATATATCGTCTTAACTTGAGCTTCAGGAGCATTCTCTCACAAGCGTAATGCAACACGTAACTGGCTGTGTAACAAAAAAGTTGTCGACCGGACGGCGAACGCCACAGAATACTATAATACATACATAATAGAACGGGGGAGTGGGCGGAGCCCGTGTAGCCAATAAAATGTCACTAACACGTCAATTCACACGTATAAATGTCAACACGAAATGTGTTTTGACGTTACAATCGTTTCCAAATTTCACCTGCAAATTATTTCGAAAATGCCAAATTGCACCCTATTTACAAATAAATATGTATTAAAATCCGTCTGTCAACACAGCGAATCGGGTTTGTAGTAGTGATTAACTGATAATACGACGTAATTGCTTGTATGTGTACTACGGCGACGCCTATCCTCGTACAAAATAAGGTTGACAGCCATTCTATTGTGTATTTAGTACCATGGTGAACACAGACATAGGTCAAACACAGTTATATCAATACAAACGTACAAATATAAACCAAAACTTCTATTAAATGAAACCAATTTTACGGATTTTATTGCGTTTAATTTTTACTTTTTAATTCCCGACGTTTCGGGTGATTTACAGCTCCCAAGGTCACGGGGGGTCTGAGGTGTTTGACGCCACGATATCATAGATTGTTAGCTGACCTTAAGTTTTTTTAATTATTCAGAAATTAAAAATTACATGCGATAAAACACGTAAAATTTTATTTAATGTATAGAATTCGCGTAAATATAAGAAATCATTATTCAAAGACTGCTATGTATAACTACTAGACCAATAATGCAGAACAAAAACTGTGTCGCAGTTGATGATCGCGCGCGTTCGACGCGGACTTAGCGCGGACGGGTTTTTTTTTTGGCCAATCCCGGCTGCTTTTCACGAATTTTGTCCGCTAATTTGTCTAATAGCATGGTATGGATCTGTTATAGTCTGTTCTTTGGGGAGGTAGCAATAAAAATAAGACTTGCGAGTCGGCTTTCTTTGGTAGCGGATAATCGCTATGTTTTCACCATAGAATACTATAATCACAATAGAATGGCTGTCAACCTTATTTTGTAGGAGGTTTAGCGTACCGGGAGCACACATACAAGCAATTACGTCGTATTATCAGTTATATAATTCAAAATAACTCAAAATGTCATAATTTACTACACCAATATCATAATTAAAATTTAAATACACTCAATCAAAAATAAAGGTCTGATAAAACAGTGACACGCAGTGATACACAGCAATTACGTCTATCATATGTCAACATGCATATTATTATCATTTTGAAATTCTTTAACACTATAATAACATTTTCTTATTAGCCATTCACGTAACTTTTTGGTCATGAGAATCATAGAGCCGTGTTTGAACTGCTTTGGAATTTTATTAAATATTTTTACACACATACAGTAACAACCTTTCTGATAGACAGAAGTTTTTGGGTTTATAGTCTAAGACAAGCCGTTTACTATCTCTAGTGCTTCGTGGATATATACCACAAGCTGACTTAAATAACTCTGCATGTTGTTTGACAAATTTATATATTTCCAATATGTACATGCCAGGGACTGTTAATATACCCAGCTTAATAAATAGGGGCTTGCATGTATCAAATGGACCTTTACCGCATATAGCACGTATAAATTTTTTTTGTGCGATGAGAACTCTATTTACTTCAACGCTGTTGCCCCACAGAACCAGATCATAATTAATATTAGACGCGACGTAACCATAATAAGCATAGTTACGCTAAGAGTCGTTATCTTAGTTAAACGCCTTAAGACGAAAGCAAACCTATTAATTTTATTACAAACTTTATCAATGTGGCCAGTGAAATTTAAGTTCTCGTTAAGTACTACACCCAAAAATGAGACCATGGTAGTCCTTTCAATAGGTATGTTTTTGTACAGCACATTAAGTATATTTGCTGCTCGTCTATTTATGTTAAATTTATGAAATTTGTCTTATTCAGATTTACATTTAGATTAATTAATTTAAGATATTGGACTATATTATCAATTGTGTTATTAATGTCATTTTCATAATTATTTAAATTGTAATTATAATTTGATTTAACAATAATGGAAATATCATCTGCAAACATTATGCATTGATGTTTAGTCACTCTCGGTAAGTCGTTTATATACAATAAAAACAATATAGGACCCAGAACGCTACCCTGTGGTACTCCAAACTTATTTATTTTGTAATTAGAACGATTGGATGTAGTTGTATTTCTCTCGCTTATTCTATTTATTTCTACGCACTGATGTCTATTTTCTAGATATGTTTTAGCCAAGAGTGAGAAAGACCTCGAATCCCATAATTTTCCAGTTTATCTAACAAGACATTGTGAACTACAAAATCGAATGCCTTAGACATATCGAAGAAAAGTGCAGTAGTACGCTGTTTATGATCGAGTCCAAGAATAACATTATGTATTAGATTAAAGCACGCGAGGGTAGTTGATTTTCCCTTTTGGAACCCATTTTGCTCACCGGAGTTTGATTTTTGATTAATGATTTTGAATTTCGTTAAATAGTTGAGCAGTCTTTTTTTGCATGGCCTTTTAAAATACCTTTGATAACACCGGTATTAATGTAACTGGGCGATAGTTACCGATTTCAGATTTATTCTGTTTTTTGTGGATAGGTTTCACGATCGAGAATTTAAGAGCCTCAGAAAAGCACCCTGTTTCAAAGGATAAATTAATTAGGTATGTTAATACCTGGGCTAGTTCGTTTTTACAGAATTTTAACACTTTTGTGGAGATTTCATCATACCCACATATATCACTACTACAACACTATCACTACTACAAACACATTTTATACGTTTCATTAATGTTTTTGACACATAAATATTTCTTTATTTTTGTTTCTAATATTTATATATATTTTCTATATTTCGGCTTACTGGTTGTAGAATATGTCTCCTTTATTTAAATTCCATTTCCCGCTGTTCTTTCGACACGTAATTATTACACAATGTGTCATTTTTAAATAATTTTCATGCAGCGACACTTGACACGAAAATTGAAAACGATTGATTGTGTTGACATTTATACGTGTGAATTGACGTGTTAGTGACATGTTAATGGCTACACGGGCTCCGCCCACTCCCCCGTTCTATTATGTATGTATTAAAGTATTCTATGGTTTTCACTGTTTAGTTCGCCTGTTGGTTTTAACTCAGGAATATAATAGTATAAATTTTCTAAAAAGTCTTTATCAAAGAGTTAAAGATGTGTCTAACTGACTTGATGGACGTCGGCGGCCTTCCGCTCCTCGGATCATATTTAACGCTTTTTCTGCCTTTTTTGAAGAAATCTTTTTTACTGTGGAATACGAACGCTCAGATATACCTAATGTGTTATCCGAGTCTTCCTTAATTTGACCTAGCCTCTTATTTCACTTTTTCCATTTTTCCGGGCGAAAATCAGATTCGCTCGAACAATTAATCGTAGAAAAATAATTACGCAACCTACCACAATGGCACTTGACATACGATTAAATAAAGAATCATCTATCGAATGATTATATATTTACTTACATACTACCCTCAAATCTTGGTTAGGCCAGGAAATTTTCAAACCACTCTCATAAATAATGACAGCGTTTGTTCAGTCACATTACACCAATCAGTGTTAGATTGTCAGTAGTGTGAAACAAAGAACAATAGTCTTTGCGTTATAGCGTGGTGCGGATGACAGCTTACAGTTTGGCGTGTCTAGAGATGAATAATTTAAGGCAATGATGAAAGTAAAAATTATCGATATAAACATTAAAACCGAAACATATATTTCTTTATAAACTACAATGCATGTAAAATTAAGTTAAAGTTTAATACAAATTATGACATAATAGTTACATAACAGCTGTTCCCGTGACTTCGCCTGCGTAGTATTTATTACAATTGGATTTCATGGTTGGTCTGCTCAAGTGGTTGCTGTGGCCCATAGACGTAACTGTTCAAAGGTTTCAGTCAAGGCTATATTACAGGCAACATTAAAGTTGCATTAAGCATTCTTAGTAATGTGTTACAATCTACATCTATCCTCGATTGCAAATCAAAATGCAGATGCGTTGTCACCCGTGAGGACTAAGATGGAATGCTTCGTTTGCAGTAAAAAGGGTCTCCGGTTCTCTACACTCACCATACGAAACACGGCAGCATTAAGCTCTCCCGCTGCACGCTCGCAGTTGACTGAAGGAATTACGAAGATTTGACTGTAACTTAGTAAGCAATATATAAAGAGCGTACAGCTCGTCTTGTAGTATATCGTCTAGAAGTCTTTGGTATAAACAAGTACTATGTCATGTTTTAGCGATGTAAAACAATCAATCACCTCATTCCATCCCATAGATTTCGTAGAAGGCGACTATGGAGAATGCCAGATAAATCTTACGATCATCGATAGATGGCACTATCACTAACACGTCAATGATTATGGCAAATAGTGGAGTGAATAATAAAATTAAAAACATTGTGAACCTTTAGATCGAAAAAGGTGTGCATTACTCACCAACTCAGCACTTTGATCTGATGCTGCAAGGCCTCGTTGACCTCTCCAGCGGCAACACCTTCTGCTACCTTCACTGGAGTCTCCTCTGAAAGACGTAACGCCAAACAATGTTACCACAATTAAAGACAAATATAATAAATAATTTTACAAGATAATAATATTTATATTTCTGTATTAGGATACTGTAAATTAATAACATTAAATTAACAAACAAATGAATGTAAATTAAAAGTATGTTTTTTTTTACCAACAACGTAGAAAACTAGGCTACACAACATTACACTTAAACAGTAATTACCATTAAAAACGCACATTTTGTGCGTACTGTCCATTAATATCTTTATAAATTATTAAATTAAAACTCTTAGAAGCAGCCATGTTTATGCATGAACTGTGTGATAAAGCATGACCATGGAGGTTAGAGAACAGTAGAACGATCGCCGTAGTAAATAGTGTCCCAGAAATATGGACACCATAAGTGAGGCGCTGCGATCGCTAAGTTCAGTCAATAAAAGTCATTTTCAGTCTATTTTTCCGATCAGATGCTAAACCACGCACAATAAAATATTGCTCCATTTTTAATGTTTCTTTTTGTCAAAAAATACAAAATTACAAAGCATGAAAATTTTCTCACCAATGCCGCGGAGAAAAGTTGTACATTATTCAACAAACTTCATCTACTTGTTCTACTCATAAATAGCTAACTTCGCAGTTACTACTCACCGACGTCAGCTCCGCTATAAATTCCACAATTTCAAAGACAGGCGGGCTATGCTTTAGTAGGTAGTGATCATTCTCCTGTTCTCTAACCTTCATGAGCATGACTATGAAACATAAAGTGACGGGCGATAGAAGGAGACATGTTAAAGCAGGACAGCATGTCAAGTTTGCTTATAGTAATAACTTGTTAGAAATAATGCGTGTCATCATAACTTTGAGGTGTAACGCTCAAGAGAGGAGAATTTAGCCAAAGAAAAAAAGACTAGAGGCACATTCACCTTAATAAGTGGAAAGAGGTAATTTTAGTTACACGCTTTGAAACATACATATTTTTATTTCTCCTTCTATCACAAAGTTTGATCGCTATTTGAGGAATATTTTGTAACATATAGATACTAGATGTGTGAAAATATTCAAGTTTTTTAAATTCTATAATGTACCTACGAGGAAAGTCTTGCATGTTAGGCAAATGTAATTCTAAAACTAGCACGTAAATGAATCCAGTTCAAACGGGGAAAAAGCACACTCCATCCTACAGTCATCCCATAAGCGCTGAGAGCCTGACACTAGTGATGGCGACGAAACGCAATATCTTGTTACGCGTCTGGGATAATTTCGGTTTTGTGATCTTCATGCGATATACTAAGACCAAGAAAGAAAGATATACTGAGCACTATCTACATTTCAAGTTATCAACTCATCGTGAGAGCACGCAGTGACGCACGCATATGCATCTAAAATCATTTGCATGGTTTTAGGTGGATATGCATGCATCCAACACTTGATTATTACGGGCTGTAAAAAAAGAAAGACGATAGATGTGTACCTGAGCGCATGTCAAGAAGTTGATTGTTAACTTGAAATGTACGTAGTGCTGCGGAATTTGTCACTTTAAAAACACTACAAAGTTAAAAATTAAGTCTGTTTCTTTATTATCTATCAGTTTTAATATTGGGTGTTTCCTCCTCTAGCCCTGATAAACGCCTACATTCAATGTCGCATGCTTTGAATGATGTTTCTGACATCAACTTGCGACATGCTGTCCCAAGCAGCTTCTTTATTTTGTTTAAACGTAAGTGGGTCTCATGCTAAAGGTTCAGGATAAATCGCCTGCGCCCTCCTTTTGCAAGGGGGTCGGTTCGTATACGCTAGAGATTTTAGATTAAGCAATTTAAGGTGTTATGGTATAGTTTTTTCGGGCGGTCGCCCAATGCAACTGGAACAATCAATATCTAAATATAATAAACCATTTTCTTCGCATATATTATTTCACCACTTCGGGAGCTAATTCTGACGGCCAACTATTGTGACAGAATTCACTTATTTGTGAAAGAGATGGATCCTGTTGGGTTTCGCAAAACTTCTTTATTTTTTGAACCGGATGCGGAATCTTTATTTTTTGGTCTAAGACGATACATTAAAACCTCGATGAAATAGGTCAATTATTTTTAGAAACTAAATAATCGTTGGATATGGTTCTTCGACTCGATTATTGAGGTTATACAACATGTAACAAACCCGTGTGTTTCTGTTAAGTGCGTTATCAGAATCAGTATTCAAATGTATAGAAATAACTTTAGATAACTTGACCATAAAATACTTAAATAAATTGAAATACATTTTATTTGCAAATTCTATGTGGTTTTATTACATCTGCATTGGCCAGGGAGTAAGAGTATTTTCGAAGACCTCGCTTTACTGATGCGCATATCAGTTAGAAACATAGGCAGTTTGCTGAATTTAGACCTCCTCCAAGGAATTCCATTAAACACAGCCCTCAGCTACTTGCGTCTTATCAGGTCGTCATTCCATCAAATGGGGGCCGCCTACATTTCGCTTACTGTTACTGGCTGCCGGACGAGAACCTGTTGTCGGTTATTCGAGCTTGGACCAGTCCATTGCCACTTCAGCTTACTTACATTATATCGAACTTTTCACACACCTAATAACATTCAGTTATAATTTCTTTAATAAAGTAATAAGTTAAACACAAGGAAAATAATTTATTTACGAACATGCACATTCTTTAAAAAGGATTATGACAAAGAAATTAGTCCGTCCGCCTTCCTGTGAAAACTGTGTTAGCAGACGTGTTGCGTGTTAATGCTATCTCCTCCCTCCTCACAATTTAAACTAGTGTCACTTCGTTTGTTTGCTGTAACGATTAGCCAATTAAAGCAGGCAAATGTCTTACACCATACAGCCTAGTCTGATGTGTATTTTGTTTACAACTTTACAATATGCTGATGCATCACACTGCGAAGTTATTGAAAGATTTTGACGATAGTTTTACCCCGCGTACAGGTAATGCGATAGTATAACGCCCCTCAGCGGTATAAAAAATTTGTTATGTCACCATCGTAGCTGCATTACCAGCAATCAGATTTTTTAATATGGTTTCGTTTCAGCCAGTCCCATTTTGTTTTTGTTTTTTTAATAAAGTATATAGTCTTCAAGTACAGATAATCTTAAACAATGATGAACTCTACATTTTTAAGTTTAATTTTTTCAGTTACTAACATAGGTAGAGTACGTACTCCGTATAAATCCAACATTTATCATTTGTTTAATAAAATATTTTAAATTAATTTGAATAATAAAAACGACGAAAAAAAATATTGAAGAAGCCTTATTTTTGAAATAGTAGTAATTTTAAAAATTACGTTTCTCAAACGAAATCTTAATGAAATGTTTAATGAAGATATCCATTAAATTAAAACCATACACTTTCTGAGTTTACTTTTGGATAAGCTTAACAAAATCGAATACAAAAATAAAAACTAACACAAAATTACACCCATGCTGTAATGAAACTAATGCAACATCGATTAAATAATAGCTTACGCGGCGTCTCTCTCGGGGCTGGCGATGTAGTCACCACCGCTAACGAAGTACAGTCGGTATATTAATAAAATGTTTGCATATTTTATAAAAATAAATGAAAAATTAATTGTTTTTATAATTAAAATTTCAGGAATTGATACTTTTAAATATTAAATTTAATCAAAAACTCTGCCTCAATAATAACAGAAGCATAAAAATATTCCATGAAAATTAAACTTTACAGTTATAATAAAAGGATTAATATTTAGTTACTGGAAGGTAAGGGGCATGCTATGTAAGGCGTTTGATTGTATTGTCTTACGTGTAAAATCTCGCAGAGAAGCCGGAGGCGTCACGGCCGCTACGCCCATACAACATATTTGTTATTATATTTTATATTTTTAAATTGTTTTTGCTGTCGCTACTAATAAATGTTACCGTCAACATATTTAAAATGTAAGTAAAAAAAATAGTTGTCATTTATAAATTAATAATTAAAATTAATAATCATAAATTTAATTTAATAAAATAATAGTAGTATATAACCTCTAAGCTTTAAGCAGCCCGTGTTATGTTTAAAAAACAGAAAGGTCGCAATCATACAATGTCAGGCTATGAAATATTTTGTCATATCAATTTATAATGCAATATCAATAAATTTTTTAAATAGCAAATATTCCTCAAGTAAGGGCTAACACTAACTTTAATAAGTAGCGACGGCAAAAACCTTATACATACTCTGGACTCAACACAAAGTTTGTTTAACTTATGCATAATAAAAGAATCATAATATGAAAAAAAATTAAAAGAAAATAACAGAGGCCAAATCAACAAAACCAATTCACTAAATACACATATTAATACAAATGAAAACCATAAAAAAATTACTATGATACGTTAAGGAACAATAATCAATTTACGCAAATACTTTTAAAACGGAAACGAAACATTAGACAACCAAAAATTTAAAAAAAAATGTAGGAGACTACCTTTGAATCTCTTTTAATAATTAATAACGTCTTCATAGACCGAATTTGGTTCACAGCGGCCTCAACGGAGGCTAGCCATCTGCAAGCGCAGGTGCACTCTCTATTCTCTTACTATCATGGTCCGATGGGAAGATAATCCGACACGAGCGAGGAGAGATCACGCTTGCCCGTGCTCGTGCTCGTGCAACGTGCTCTTTTTCAATACTTATAATTACAAAAGTATACAAAAAAAAACTATATTCTGTATCTTCATACAAGATGTTTTTTTTTAATAAAAATGAATGTGTCAAACGAACACACAGTCCACTAAAAAGTAAGTGAATGATTTTGCCCTTAGTTACCTATTCTATATCCGATTAAAAAATAAAAACCAAAAAGTGCTTTGGTCACAGACACAGGGACATTCACAACCTAAAAACTAACCATTTTTATCTGACACAAATATTGGCTTAAGTTTTCATTCTGGTCTATCTACGCAGTTTAATATTGTGTTCAAAGGCATTCCCCTACAGTATTAAATTCAAAGACACACAAACGGGCAAATAGTGTGTGTGTACGTACCGTGGTGCGAGCCGCCTCGTTTCGTGTACAACTTCAACTTGTTCCTCAGAGTGCCACGCTCGCTCTCCAGCGACTCAATGTCCTGCTGCAGATGGTCCAGGGTCTCTTCATATTCCTTTTCTTTCCTACCAGAAGAGAAAGTACATTATTTGTATTAAAAAAAATAGTAAAGTAAAAAGAGAAAACTGAAACGAAACTAATTAAAAGAACAAAAAATAATACAAAAACTGCGGTCGCCAACCCGTCTGTAATAGTCGTAAGAGTGAAAAACTATGGGGACGAACTATGGGGATTTTTTTATAGGATAAGGTGAGGTGATAAACGAGCGCACAGTCCACCTGATGGTAAGTGGTTGCTGCGGGCCATAGACATCTACATTTATCCTCGACTACGAATTAAAATGCAGACGCGTTGTGATTCGTGAGGACTAAGATGGAATGCCTCGTTTCCAGTAAAAAGGGTCTCCGGTTCTCTACACTCACCATACGAAACATAGCAGCATTATGCTGGTATTCTGTGAGAGCGTGGTCCTTCCCCGGTCGAGCCGACCCATTCATGCTACAACTATACTATTAATATAACTGCAGCACGGCTCTATCACTTTAAAATATATGGAATATACGGAATATGGGGAACCAACAAAACTATGTAGAAGAGAGACAATCTATAGGGAAGGGCCTGTTTCTTTTATAGAATAAGGGTGTCCACCTGATGCTAATTGGATGCTGTGGCTCATATATATCTTTGACATTTATACTCAATTAAGAGACAAAATGCAGATCATGGAGGTTAGAGAAGAGGAGAACGATCACTACGTATTAAAGCATAGCCCGCCTGTCCTTGATAATTGTAGAATATATAGCGGCGCTGACGTCGGTGAGTAGTGATTGCGAAGTTAGCTGTTTATGAGTACAAGTAGATGAAGTTTGTTGAATAATGTACAAATTTTCTCCGTGGCATTGGTGAGAAAATATGCATGCTCCGTAATTTTGTAATTTTTGACAAAAAGAAACATTAAAAATGGAGAAATATTCGGTTATGCGTGGATGTGCAAGTGGTTTAGCAACTGATCGTAAAAATAGACTCAAAATGACTTTTATTGACCGAATCTCGAGCGATCGCAGCGCCTCACTGATGGTGTCCATATTTCTGGGACACTATTTTCTAAGGCGATCGTTCTCCTGTTCTCTAACCTCCATGATCCTGATGCCTTAGGACTGCCTCATTTTCAGTAAAAAGGGTCTCCGGTTCCAGCAGCATTGAGCTCTTTCATGCAGGTATTCAGTGAGAGCGTGGATATAGCTACAGCGTGGCTCTATCATACACGAAATAGAATAGGACACCATTAAAATACTCCCGCCAAAACTTTCAGACTATAATCATTTCTAAAGTCGGTTACTTCTTAAGTTGGTTGAGTGTGTCGTCCAGTCTCCTCTGCAGCGTTTCGGCACGTTGTCCAGCTTCCGTCGCGGCCGTCAACAGTTTCCGCTCTCCCAGCTCCCTGCGGATCTGCATCTCTGATAGTTCCTCTTGTTTCGCCTGAGAATTGAAAACAAGTAAAGTAACCGGCCATATAAGACCAACGATAGGCACAGACTTCTCATTCCTGATAGGATTTTGGAGTAAGGAAGTTAACCAACCCGCTCCAATGAACAAGCCCACAACGTAACAAGTATATATGTATTTATTCGTTCATTACAGCCTGTAATCGTAAGTGTTTTTTTTAATAAGATAGGGTGACAAACGAGCGCACAGTCCACCTGATGGTAAGTGGTTGCTGCGGCCCATAGACATCTACATCTATCCTCGATTGAAAATCAAAAAGCAGATGCGTTGTTATCTGTGAGGACTAAGATGGAATGCCTCGTTTCCAGTAAAAGGGGTCTCCGGTTCTCTACACTCAACATACTAAACACAACACCATTAAGCTACTATTTTACGCTAGTATTCTGTGAGAGCGTGGTCCTTCCCCGGTCGAGCCGACCTATTCGTGCTACAACTATACTACTAATATAACTGCAGCATGGCTCTATCACAACACAACACAAACCTAATCCATGGGGAAATATTTAGCCATATTGGCAGGAAGATAACAATCTAAACCCAAAATATAACCAAAGTATATAATGATTTCTTACGTTAACACGAACACTACATTTAAATGAAACCAGTTTTACGGATTTTATAGCGTATATTATTGTAACTTACTTAATTTTAATGCCCGACGTTTCGAGCAATTTACAGCACCCATGGTAACGGGGGGTGGGGTGGGACTGAGATGTTCCACATCCCAATGTCACAGTTAACCACGGCTATATACACATTAAAATTATTAATTGACTGCCTCGTTGGTCTAGTGTGTTCGAATCCCGGGTCGAGCCAAAAAATCAATTATTGAGGTTTTCTGTCAAGAAAATCTCAGTAGCTGCCCGGAGTCAGGAAGTTGGCGGTGTCTCACCCCCGTGCCTCGGAAAGCACGTAAAGCCGTTGGTCCTGCGCCTGACCTCTCCGGTCGTGTCGGTTTACCGTCCCATCGGATTATGAGAGTGAGGCAATAGAGAGTGCACCTGTGCTTGCGCATACACTTGGGCACTATAATCCTGTCCTGCGCCGATGGCTAGCCTCCGTTGAGGCAGGCCGCTGTGGCCGGAATTCGGACTGGAGGACATTATCCACAGTTGCTATAGAGAATCCACTATAGTCATCACAGAATAAATACCTAATAGTTTACATACTTATATGAATATATGGATTGTAGAGGTAAGGAGAACAAACTGTATAAAAAAATTTCCGTAGAAAAGCGCTAAATAAGGGTGGCGCCACTGTAGCTACAGTGAAAAATTTTAAAGAACTTTTTGTATTTTTTTTAATTAAGCAGACTCACCATAATTCTTTTTATAATAATTATTTTATTGTTTTCAAATTTTTTATTTTCATAATTACTCAACGTATTTTACGGCGATTTTTCATACCCTGTAGCTACTCGAGCGCTGTTGTGGAGAGTTTTTGAACTGTTATTTACTGCTTACAGATGGACACTTTTTTAACTATTCTCCTATGGGAGACTGTCCTCTTTGCCTTTATATCCATGCCCTAATGTCTAAGGTTGGCAAATTATTAATTATTGATCCGATCCACGCAGAATGAACATATACTCGAAACATCGGGAATTTAAAATAAGTTAAAATATACGCGATGATATCCGTAAAACAAGCGCAGTGTTGGGCGAACCCCGACTAGATACATTGATGACCTTGGGGATGTCGATGCTCAGTACGACGGTTTTGTAATTATGATGATTTTTTTATAGAAGAGGGGGCAAACGAGCATGCGGCTCACCTGACGTTAAGTGACTACCGCCGCCCATGATCAACTGCAACACTTGCCGGCCCTTTAGAAAGGAGTAAGCTCCTTTCTTGAAGGTGGTAGAAGGATGATGACGATGAAATCAATCTTTTATAATGACAATACAATATTTATGCATATTTATTTCACTGTATTTAAGTTATACACCTAACATTTATAATATGAAAAATTATATTTTGTGACACTCGAGCACACAGTGATGAAAAGCGGATCATGTGGCCCATAAGCACATCTATCTTCGATTAAAAAATCAAAACGCAGTGTGTCACCACTGAGGACTAAGGTAGATTATATATCCTATATGATATTTTATATATGATAGCCTACCTTACCTACCTTAGGCCGACCAACGACGCTCTTATTATATTTGGTATTTTGTAAAAATGTACACTTTTGCTATCTCCTATATATATATATATATATATATATATATATATATATATATATATATATATATATATATATATATATATATATATATATATATACAGGATGTATAGTGTAAACACCGTTATCCTTGAAACCAGTGGTTTCGTTTCACTTATAGAACGTAAATTCAATTAAAAATAACAAATTTTTTTTTAGTAAAATCTCAATTTTTCCTTAATTCCTCAATTTTTGCCTGTCCTAAGCCTGTATGAAACTATGAAGGAAAAGTTACATCACAGTTTATGTGTACCTATTGTGTTTTTATTGGAATTTTGTGTAGGTAGCTAGCGCTGGCGGTGATCTTTACAGTGAATACGTCACTCAGGCGCATAGGGTATCCATGAATTTACGGGCAGCGTCGGACAGAAACTTTTATGGAAGAAAATAGCGTTTTTCTTTAATTCGGATAAATATTTTTACAAAGCCAACTACTTATGGTTTTAGTGACAACGGTGTTTACACTTACACTTTTATATACATACATATAAATTATAATTGTTCACTTTAAAGTGTCACAATACCTAACATAGAAAATATAGTAGCTAGGTCTTTATTTGGTTCAACCGACCTATTTGTTTTGCAGCCGTGATATAAATTAAGGTTTGAAATTGAAAAAAAAAAACATAATTTTAGATTCCAGAGTTACCTTAAGCGCCTTCCTAAGCTCTTTGATGTCAGCCTCTTTGTTCTCCAGTTTGATGGTGAGCGTCTTCGTCTCCTCCAACTGCTTCTTCACCAATTGGGCTCTAAGCACCACCGGCGGTGTTGGCTGGGATGATATACGGTTAGTTATTAAAAGTGCATTAATACAAGTTTTTTTTTAATATATAGAATAAGTAAGAATGATGAGAATGAAAGAAAAAAGGCAGAGTTTAAACGTTTAAATAAGAGAGTAAAAGAATTAGTTGAAAGGAAAAAGCAAGAAAGAACGGATAGGAATGATAGAAGAATATCGGATAACTTCCAGGCAAATATTAAAATGTTCTGGAAACTCGTAAGAAATACCAGGGGACTTTCAAAACAGCCTAGATTGAATGCGATACGAGACGAGAATGGCTGTATCCTGAATGATGAAGTGTTGAGTCTAAAGAGATGGAAGGAATATTTTGAAAGCGAATTTATGAGTGAGGAGAAGTGTGAACTAAATGAAATAGAAATTCCGAAAGAAGATGAAAGAGATAGGGAGATAAGTATAGATGAAATAATGAAAGCAATGAAAAGCATGAAAGTAGGTAAGGCAGCCGGATATGATAGAGTTTCACCCGAAATGCTAAGGGCTGGAGAGGACGTGGTGACAGGCCTGCTGTACACCTTGTTTAATTTATGTTGGGAACTAAAGCGGGTACCGGGAGACTGGTGCAAAGCCGTGATAGTCCCAATATATAAGGGAAAAGGGTCACAGCAGGACTGTAAAAACTACCGTGGTATCAGCCTTCTTAGCATTGTGGGAAAACTGTATGCTAAGGTACTAATTGAAAGAGTTATGAAAGAAACTGATGAAAAAATTTGGGATGTGCAAGCGGGATTTAGAAAGGGAATGGGGTGTACAGATCAAGTCTTTTCCATGCGCATGATCGCGGAGAAGTTTTTGGCGAAAAACCAAAAAGTTTTTTGTGCGTTCATGGACTTGGAAAAGGCTTATGACAGAGTGGACAGGGATGTGTTATGGCAAACGCTGAACGCATTTAGGTTGAGCGCTGGTTTGATACAGGCATTAAAGTCTCTGTATAGGGACTCGAGTGCTTGTGTTAGAATCAACGGGGTCTACTCGGACTGGTTTGGCATCCATAAAGGTGTCAGACAGGGCTGTGTAGCTTCCCCGTGGCTGTTCAACCTATTTATGGACAGCTGTTTGGAAAATTTGAAAGTTGAAGAATGCGGGTTAAGAATGGGTGAGTTAACCATCAAATGCCTTTTGTACGCCGATGATCAAGTCATACTTGCGTCGTCGGCGGCCGAGTTGCAAATGATGGTTACATTAATGAACAGGTCATTAAAAGAAAGGGGAATGAAAGTGAACGCAAGTAAGACGAAAGTGATGGTTTTTGAAAGAGATAAAAGCAAAACGGTATGTGAAATAAGAATAGAAGGAGAGTTAATTGAGCAAGTGGATGAGTTCGTATATTTGGGATGTGTATTCAGCAGGGATGGGAGATATGATAAGGATATTGAACGACGAGTGAATGCAGGAAATAAAGTAAATGGGGCTCTACACTCTATTGTGAAAAGTCAGAATGTGTCAAAAAAGGCACGTATGGCAATTCACAGTGCTGTATTAGTCCCTACTTTAACGTATGGTAGTGAAAGTTGGGTGTGGCAGAAGAAGCACGAGAGTAGAATAAATGCAGTAGAAATGCGGTCGCTAAGGAGTATGTTAGGGCTGAATCTGAGTGACAGGGTGAGAAACTGTGTGATAAAAGAAGAGTGTGGCTTGCAAGATGTGACCAGGATTAAGAAAGGAATGCTTCGGTGGTTTAGTCATGTAGAAAGAATGAATGCGGAAAGACTGACAAAGCAAATATATGTTGCAGAAGTGAATGGAAGAGTCGGAAAGGGACGTCCTAGGCGGAAGTTTGTCGACCAAATTGGCGATATACTAAAAATGGGCCAAATTAAGAGTACCCTTAACCGACGAGCATGTATGCGTAGGTATATGGATGTGGAAGAGGCGAGAAAGGTATGTCAGGATCGTGCTAAATGGAAGTCTGTAGTCTCTGCCTACCCCTCTGGGTGACAGGCGTGAGTGTTTATGTTTTATATAGAATATGGGTGTTGTTTTTTAAGCTGTGCCGGTCTATAGCGGATAAAGAGCCAGTATAATTACAGACTGTAAAGGATTCCATTTTAGTCTTTTTTTATAGAATGACCAGGGCACACGGGCATACAGTCGACGTTATGTTGCGGATGCTGTGGCCTAAGATATCACAATCTATCCGCGATTCAGAGTCAAAATACAGAAGCGTTGTCATCCTTGAGGACTCAGATGGAATGCCTCGTTTCCAGTAAACAGGATCTTCGTTATAAAAGTTTCAAAAACGTGTTACAATATTCTATACTCAAAAACGATGTATCACGTAATTCGGTACGTTAACATTTGTACGGTGTCATTTTTATATGTATATAAGATTATTAAAAACACTGTCTGTAATTAGGTATTATGTTTTCTAAGCATTAGTAAACTGTTTTTTACTTTGTTAATGACGGACATTTTCGCAAAACTTTTTAAATTACTAGATACTGGCTTTAGCCATTCAGCCTCCTTTATATGCTGTCATTTGGAGGTAAAATAAGGGTCAAATAATTTCATGCACTTTTGATAAAATATCTACTATCCCTTATTATAAAATGTCTCTTGATAGCAAAATAAGGTTTATAAATGAACAATCTTGAAATTTCAAAATCAGCATGGCTTATAATCATCTTTACATACGGAATTGATTAGAATACGTCATGGTTATAGAAAGGTTTTTTTTAATAAATCACTTAGTAGTACATACATTGCGTCGTATATTTTATGAGCCGTGTTAGTAAAGCCATATTGCATACAACAAATGTAATGGCCAAAAAATAAAAAGGCAAAAATACAATAATTTTATCAATGTAGATTCTTAATTAGTATTACAATTTCAATAAATTTTATTCTATTTTATTTTTATGGCATGATTCTCATAAGAACACACAATTATTATATTTGTATGTCTTTAAGACAAAACATAGCGTACTATTAATTGTAACCCTCGCAAGGCCTTAGGGGGCGTCCATAAATTACGTGAGATGTATAAGGGGGGAGGGGGTCGACTCAAATCTCATCTAATCTTACATTGGAGAGAGGGGGGTCTCGGCAAATATCACGCAATTTGAAACAAAAAAAAATACTATTTTGGTCCATTTAATCCAGATTGTACATGCTTAAGATTTAATCTAAAGCGTAATAGGATTAAGATCATTCGTAATTTGTTTGAAAGAAAATAATTTCATTCATACTTCGACGTTATACATCTACTGACTGTCAAACCATCATATTTGTTTTATACCAAATATATAAACCAAACCAAATATTTTATACTAAATATATTTATATCAAACTCAATTTAATCAGAGTTTACGGTACTTTTTTTAACCACAGTAGTCACGATTTAAGTATTCTATAGTTAAATTTTTATTACACTTATAACTCTCAGCGATATTGATTACTAGTCTTAACTAGTCGTAAATAAAAGCACGAAGCAATTATATTTTCTTTTTACAATAACGATCCAATGCGTTTACGAAAGAAACCCACATTTTGAAAAATCTCACGTGAGATTGGGGGATGGGGGAAGGGGTTGAATAAAATCTCACGACATCTCACCAGTGGGGGAGGGAGGGACAGAAAATTTAAAAAAAAACACCTCACGTAATTTATGGACGCCCCCTTAAGGTTGCCCTAGTCGATGGCACGAACTAAGTGGTGGACGGGGTAAAAATGCATGCTATCTCAGCCGACATCACGTGCGAAAGGGATAGACGCTGTGATGAGCAGTAAGAAGCTAGTGCGCACACACATACGCACTCGAGTGACGCAATGCGAGACGGCGTCATCGCGTACCTTCCTATGCGATTCATTTTTGAATAATAACATAAACTCAAACGGCAATTTGAGCTCCGTATCGCGGTGGCTTAGCAATGAGGCTGCGCTGGGCTCCGCGGGTTCAAATCCCGCACGGAACAAATATTTTTATGGCCTACAAATAGTTGTTCCGGGTCTGGATATTTGTCCTTGTGCAATTTATGTTTGTAAACTGCCTTCACGATACTGGAGAAAATCCTAGTGTATTTTAAAAAGAGAAAGGAGAGAGAAAACAAATTGATGTTATTATAACTTAGGATCTGCTGTGTGAAACGTAATTATTATGAACCCAATTTATGTACTTAGTTGTTATTATGAAAGTTATTATGAGCAAATCAACCGCGATTGCTGCTATCGCCTATCTATGCATTCTTTACACAATCACACATAACTCTCAACTAAAAACGGTAACATAAAAAAAAATTTTCAAAAAAAATATAACAATTTCTAAAACAAACACAAAAAAGTGTAACATAATTATGTTTTCTTTATGTTTTTGTATTTTACTGTAGGTTATGCAAATATTACTGTAGGTACTATGTATTCTAAATAGGTAATGACTTTCCATAGCTAGTTAGCTATAATAGCACACAGGTAACTCCCCGAAGTATATGTCAGCCAGTGTCAGGATAACTGCTTTTTCGACAGCGCGATTTTGATGTGAGTGGGGCTTTTATATAGGTTAATTAAATAAATAAAAAATGTTAGTTTGTAAATTGTTTATTGTTTGTGTTCAACAGCGGTTTGAAATATTCTCTTAGTACTTAGAAAGTTATCGACAATAGGCGTTGTGTCACTGCAGGAACAAGCACAAACATCTATCAAAATAGTAACGTATATAAACGGAATACTGACCGCACAGATTTTCTTACAGAAGTCCAAAGAACACGTCTAGGCAAGGTAAGTAATTAGAAGAAAACTACAATTTAGAGATCGATTGTAAATCAAATTCACAGTACAGACACAATTAGCGAAATATGAATAAAATTTTGATTTATTTTATGATAGATAACGCTAGTTGAAAACTAAACACTGTATGGGAATGGCATCACTGAACGAGTCAGGTGGTCAGTCCAAACAAATAAAAGGCGCGATTGTAGAAAGAGATTCGTTACGTAACGTTTGTAGGCAAGTTTGTAGGCTAGGGGACTTGGGCTGTT